TGAAATGTGATGATTAGTACTTGAGATATCAGTGGAAAAACCGAAAATTGACTAATCATTATGCAAATTAGGTAATTAGTATCCACGGATTATTACCAAAAACCAATCAAAACTTAGCATTAGTTCAGAGCATCTATGTACCAAGTTTCATCAAAATCCAATGAGTGGTTGTTTAGATATCAGTGGAACAGTCATGGAACCACTAAAAAATAGCTAATTATCATGCAAATTAGGTAATTAATATGCACGGATTTTTACCAAAACCTAATCAAATCTGCGCATTGGCCCAGAGCATCTATGCACCAAGTTTCATCAAAAACCGATGTATGGTTCTTGAGATAGCAGTGGAACAGTCGGACACACATACACACACACATACACACATACACACATACACACACACATACACACATACAGACACACTAACTGCAAAGATTCCCATTTTGTGCTTCGCACATGGGAGTCAAAAATTATGCAAGAGATGTCAATGAGGCAGTGAGTAACATGAAAATGATTTTCAATTCTTGGAAACGAAGAAAACTGTCCTTATTTGGAAAGGTACTGATTATAAATATGTTTGGAGTATCACAATTCACGTATATTCTAAATTCAATTACCCTGAAAAAACAAACTATTCAGGAAGTGCACAAAATTATGTATGAATTCCTGTGGGAAGGCAAAATAGCTAGAAGTACAATGATGGGAGGCGTGGGCATGAAAAAACAACAAAGGATCAAACATTATTTAGATCCCGACTTTGACCATTCCTGGAAACTCTTTCTAGACAAGCAGCTTGAACCAGTGTGTGTGTGGGGGGGGGGGGGGGTGATCTTCAGGTGCAATTATAGTACTAAGGTTTTGCCGGTGAAACTGAGTGAATTTGTCACAGAGACTTTGGATATATGGGCACAGGAAATTAAAGTATATAAACAGGGTAAAAATCAAATCATATGGAATAATGAAGAAATACTGATTGGAAGAAAATCGGTATACTTTGTCTGAAATGGAATAATCTTTTTGACGAAAATGGTTTGATACCGTGGCAGTCGATAGCACAGGAGGAATTTACCCTAATACATAAATTAAGATGGCTAGGTTTAGCATCAGCTATTCCTGGGGACCTAAAGTATGGAGAAGCGGATCTGGAATCTACTTATTTCAAAATTACAAAAATTCCTCTGGATTTTGAAACCTTGACTAAGAAAGCTGTCAAAAATGAATTATGTGAAAGGTCATTTGTTATTCCTGCAAGCCAAAACAAATTACAAATTGAATTGAGGGGGGGGGGGTGCATTGAAAGGGAAAAAAGATATAAACTTATGATGAAAATGACAACTGAGAGCAAAATGAGAGAATTCCGGTTCAAGCTCCTTCAAAATATTTTATATAAAACCAAAAATTACACAAAATAAACCCTCAGAGGTATGGCAGCCCACAGTGTACATTCTGTGACTGGGAAGCCGAAAGCTATGAACATCTGTTTTATGAATGTCAATATGTTATATCTCTCTGGAGTGAGATCCTCTTTTGGTGGGGGGAACCACTTAAATTAAAGTCACCACCAAGTAGATTGTGTATGATTATATCGAATCCAGATGATACTTTGATTGCAAACTTTATATCTTTGTTGGTAAGAAAACATATATACTTTTGCAAAATGAGAGAAATGAAGCCAAATTTTGTTGGCTTCCTATCTTATTGTAAAAGAATTTACCAAATGAATGTGAAAATTATATTGCAAAAAAGTACAATAAGATGGTTTCACATCTAAAAAAGTGGTCTCCTTTGTTACCATATGTAAGATAAAAAAGGTGGTACTACTATATATGTATAATAGAATACAGGAATAGAACAACTCAATGTAATTTCATAACAATGTAATGTATCAATGAAGCGCCTAATAAAAAGAGTATAAAAACAAAAACCTTAGTAATTACATGTAGATAGAGATGAAATATCAGTAAAATATGCACCCAATCATAAACACTTGCAAATCAGGATGAGGTGAGGGCTTTAAATTAAATGGAAGAGGACAAACCAAACTAGTTTCAGTCCAACCAAATAAATTTATAAAATTTGTACAATTCACTTACTATTGCGCTTGATCACAAGTACTTACCATACTTCCCCGAGTATAAGCCCCTCCCCGAGTGTAAGCCCACCCCTCTGTTTTTGGACATTTAACAAGTGGAGGGCATCCCCGAGCATAGGCCCAGGGTGTTTTACCAGGCGTCAACGACATTTATTAAAATATGCATGTAAAAAGTGTATTTCAATGCATAAACATCATGATTGGTACGGTAGTTTGGTTCCAGCTTTTACGAGAAAACTTGTATTAATTTCAGATTGCACGGCGGGCAAACGTACATAGTTCACACGTTTTCTATTCTGTTATTTACTCGGGATGAACCCCGATGTTGCAATACTGAAATAATCCATATTTCTTTAGAGTAGTAGTTTTACAAACAGCAAAAATGTGATCGTCAAGTCGTGAAACCTGATCACTATCATCGTTTTACTTTTCCGAATAATCTTTTGTGAATGGGGTGTGACTCGTTCAAACTATTCTTTGACATGACTTGTTGGCAGCCGTGAAAGGTTTAAATACTTCCCTCACTCTCAGTTTACCTTTCGAAAATTGCGAATCAACAGCTTTTAGGGAAAAAAGTTTTTTGTCGAAATCAGTGTTAATAACAGATTGTATTTTAACATCGCGGTAATACACTTCCGCATTGCGTTGATAAAAATACTTCGTCAATAATCGGAAAACTTAGACTGTATGACTCTCACTCATGCTCTTCCTTATTACCCTTGACTGGGTAATGAGAAACACAACTGTCGGCAAAGCAAGAGGAATACAATGGTCCATGTTTTCCAAACTTGACGATCTGGATTTTGCATACGATATAGCTCTGCTTTCATCAAGACTAGACCATATGCAAGAAAAGACCAACAGGCTCTCTAGGTTTGCAGCACAAACAGGACTGTCAATCAATGAGAAAAAGACACAGCTATTGAAAATCAACACAACAAACCAAACCCCACTCAAAATTCAGGGTAAGGCCATCAATGATGTTGATGACTTCACTTACCTGGGCAGTAATGTAAGCAAAAAGGACAGCATAAGTAAAGACATCAAATCAAGAATAGCCAAAGCCAGGAATGCCTTCATAAAACTAAATCCAATTTTGAAATCCAACCAATACAGTTGGAAGCTTAAACTCAAGCTTTACAATAGTAATGTAAAATCTGTCCTTCTCTATGCATCCGAATGTTTGGAGTGTAACAAAATCCGACATGATCAAGTTATCATCTTTCCACAATAGTTGCCTTAGGAGAATTTGCAAAATATTCTGGCCAGTGATCATATCCAATGATAATCTCTGTAGGCAAACACATTCTAAGGACATTATTATTGAAATTAAGAGCGGAAGACTGAAATGGTTGGGCCATGTCTTAGAATGCCACAAGACTCAATCCCCAAAACAGCACTTCGCTAGACACCACAGCATCAACGAAACAGAGGGAGGCCAAAAACCACATGGAGAAAAACCATTACCACAGAACTTGCCCAAGCAAACCTGACCTTGATTAGTGCAGAAATAGTGGCCAAGGATAGACAGGAATGGAAGAACCTGATTGCAGCCTTATGTTCAAAAAATCAGAAAACTTCGACTGTATGAGGGAGCATTTTCATTGGTTAACGAAAGACGTGACCTGTTAGGTCAAAGGAAGTTGTTCAGGTCAAATTATGATGAAACCATGGCGGAAATAGCTTTGTATCGAGGGTTTGTGTACAATGTACGACCATCAACTGTTTTCCCACAGACCCTACCCATTTTTGCACCGTAAATTCAGACGGTATGTGAACCGTATTCTAATAAAATTTTTGTTTTTTGTTGATATTTGTTTCTTCATTGTAAAAAGCGTCGTTGAAATCAATGACAACTCGTTTCGCATTTTTGTTTTCTCAAAAAGACGCAATATTTCTTCGAGACCGGCGCTGTGAACGAAAAATGTAATTTGGATAATGTTTCGAGGCTGGGAAGATGGTTACAGTTTTAAACGCACCAAAAAATAATTTTTTCTGAGGTGGTCCTCGAGTATAAGCCCACCCCTTATTTTTTCCGATTTTACATGTTCAGGCCCCTGGGCTTATGCTCGGGGGAAGTACGGTAACAATAAATATTCTAATTTATGCATGACTCTAATTTAGGTGCCAGGTGAGAGTGAAAGATCTTGTTTTGAATTTAAAATAGTGTCAAAGACAGTAGAAAAATTCCCTGTTGAAAAACAATTTTTTTTCATGATGCTATAATGAGAAGTATGGAGAAGGTTACAAATAAAAACAAACACATGATATAGTGGAAAACGATCATACAGTATACATATACCGTAAAAACTGTATTAGAAGCCGCATCCCTAATAGAAGGTCGCACCCATTCCTTTTGAACAATTTGGAACCAAAAATTCATCATTTCTCATATGTGTAGGTGCTCTAATAGAAGCCGCATCCCCTCTGTTGCATTGTACCATTTCAATGGAAGTCGCGGCTTCTAATACAGATTTTACAGTAGTAGTGTAATCTGGTCAAGCTATTTCACAGGCGAATAACAAGTGCATGTACTTTTGAGGTGTGTACAAACGTTGAAATACTCACTCGTGAATACATATTAAACAAAAAAATCAATTCATTGGTTTGGTTATTAATTAATCTTAGTTTCATTGAAAACAAATGAAAAACTTTGATAAATTATGGCAAAATTTGAGACATACAATGATGTGTTGAATAATGCACATAAAAGACGAACAACTCGTTAAAAATAATCTGGGGTAACAGAATAAGGAGATTCAGAAAAAGAAACTATTGACATTGACTCCCAATTATTTAAGATTTATTTGTTATTCAAGTCTAAACTTAATATACATTTAAAGTTGTGAGACTAGCTCCCACATATTTGTATTTAAATAAATGCAAATAAATGATAAACAATACTTACTGTCTTAAATCAGCCCCACATTCTGCACACATGTCTTTCATTACTGTTGGATGAGCACACCCTTCAATTTGTACTACTGCAAGCCTGCATGAATATACAAAATTATATTATAGCATTATCAATACCAGTGGATTTTATGACGTCATTGCAGCAGATTATTCGCGATAATGTATTATATTATTGAGCATCAAGGCCCTGTCCCATGGATATGAATACAATGTTGTTTTCGAAAACAAATAAAGAAGAAACTACTGAAAAAGAATTGTTAGATAACAAGTATTTCATACCAAAATCGATATCAAATAAAGCGGTACATAACCAATAACAGCGGATTTCAATATTGGAATCAGACAATATTGTGAGGGCATTGTCATCTGCTCTGTACGCTAACACGCGTTCGGTCAAAGCGGTCCAACTAGTACGCGCGCTTCTAGATTCCGCGACTGATGCCGCTGTCCTGGTGGCCTCCTGATTAGTTCGCCCTATCGTGTTGATGAAGTGAGGTTAACCGAGAATAATTTATCCAAGCAAATGCGATAAACAAAATGGGGGTACAATGTATGTCTACGAGTACAGAGAGAAGAATTTGTTCTGTTTTTGTAGTAAGTAGTACATATGTACAACAAAATTTGCGTAACGAGAACGACGAAAGACCGATGTGACTTGTAACAGTCCAGGCACAGTTTGCATACATAAATGAAAGTATCCGTGTTCTCAGGTGTGTACCTGTTTATTTATACAGTGAGATTAAAATCACTGTTGGTTCTCCCTCTAGGATGGCTAACATCCATTAGCTCTCCGGTCATTTTCGTTCGCCCTCTACGCCGGTAAGTTTCGTTTGGCTTCAAAGTATTTGTCAAATCCCCGCCCTCTCGTGGAATTTAGAATATCTATTACAAAGAAAGGACAGTTGCAAATAATATCTACCTTGATTGTTTGAAAACACTAGTGGGTTGGGTAACGATGCAACTACGTACATGTTCCCTGGGTACGCATCCTTACGCACAGTCGATCCAGCTGGACCATGGCTGTGATCTAGCGTAGTATAGTGCAAAGCCGCGGTGGACACCAATACCAGTCATGGTGTGCCGTTCGCTCGGGCGATCACTGCAATGCTAGTCCACACTACACATCAGTCACTCACTCACTCGCAATGTAAATGAGTTCAATACAATAATATTTGATGGAATAAAACTTAGTGTCTTGCTTAGTTTGCCATATGAGATTGTGAAAACAATTTCCAGAAAGAAATTTTAAATTATTCAGATTCACAGGCCAGTGACTGTGAAACTATTCCGTTCACTGTAGATTTTTCTCCAGATTTTTCTCCAAATTTTTCCGTTTTCAGAGGCAGCAAATCCACTTGTAATGACAACGCTACAAAATAATAACAATAATGAACTCTCCGACAACCCATAATGGACTCAAGCACACTTTGTACTCCATATATGTACTCGGCTCACGCCTCGTACATTTATGTCGCACAAAGTGAGCTTTCATCCATTATGAATGTTTAAGGATGTAGTAGACATAACAGTCACTATTTTATACATTTTTTGTTTATTGTCTATTTTGGTGGCATTTGTCTATCTGCATGCAATGGATGTGTTTTCCACTCAAAATAGTAACCAGTACACCCAAAAAAGGCATTTTTAACAAAAAAGTTAGGATATGTGTTTATAACAGCAGACCGCTCACTTTGATTTCAGGATAATCGGCTTTGAGCGTAAACAATAAATATTGACCTAATTTGCATAAGTTGGCCTACTTAGCAACGGAAACAACGCACGCACGCCCTGTCTCTGTGATCGTTCTATATTAGTACACCGTGTGACACATCAACAAATTAGCGCTCCTTAAAATTGTTATCAGAATT